CAATAGATCTGTTTTGGAAGAAGTGCAGCCAGAGTGCTCCTTGGAGGCCAAGATGGCCAAACTTTGTCTCTCATACTTCGGACATATTGTCAGGAGAGCCCAGTCGCTGGAGAAGGATATCATGTTTGATAAGGTAGAGGGTTAGAGAAAACAGGAATACTCCCCAGTGAAGTGGATTGGCAAAGTGGCAGCATCGATGGACTCAAGCGTGGCAACAGTGGTGCGCCTGGCCCAGGATCAGGCAGTGTTTCGTTCTGTTGTGCATAAGGTAGCTATGTTTTGGTACCGACTCGATGGCATCTAACAACAACAACAACAAGGAATTACACACTTGTTCCTGAAGGTTTTCTACTGTGAAGTTACATTACCTTTCTTCTCAGATGCATAAAAACGATATACATTTAGATAAAAGCACCATTGAAGCAATCTCTGACCTTTCTATTCCTTTTAGTACCACAAGGGATAGGAGAGTAGAGGGGCAATTACATAAAAACATGGTGGTGGTGGGCCGTGGAATCAGTTCCTATTTATAGCAACCCTGCATAGGGTTTCTGAGGCTTTAAATATTTACGGGAGCAGAAAGCCTCATCTTTCTCCTGCAGAACAGTTGGTAGTTTCAAACTGCTAACCTTGAGGTTAGCAGCCCGACTTGTAACTACTACTCTACCAGAGCACCTTACATAAAAACATGCAAATCACAAATTTAAGCAAACAGAAAGTCAGCACCTACTGATAATGTTGTTGTTGTTAAGTGTCATCGAGGCAGTTCCAATTCATAGCGACCCTGAATAGGTTGTGATTGCGGTCCAGTGCTTAATTATATATAAAAAAGTGGTCCTTTTCCCTCTTCAGATTGTATTCTGATTCATCCAAGATACTATAATCTCTAAAATCTGTGCTTCTATCATTTTTCCTATCCTGCCCCTCCCAATAAGAAAATGACATAGTATTTCTTTCCTTACTCTTTTTATCTAAATGTATCCCAGTATCCTCCTCCTTTACCTTCCAGCTCCTGTGAGGGAGACAGGATGGTCAATCAGGTATCTGAACTTGTTCCTTCGAACAGGATGATGCCACACATGGTCTATAGGGCGCAGAAGACCACCCTAGGAAAAAGCAAAAATACATGAATGAATACACAGCAGAGGGCGCTCTAGTCAAATGAAATATCTTTTTAATTGTTTACAGTATTTACATTAAGGGCAATTAAATGTTCCATGGAAAAAAAGAAAGCAAAAATCTTATTCTGTACTATAATGAAAGACTGAAACTAAAACAGTTATATAGTTATAGAAAAAGATCAACGATAAGAGAGTATTGTTGTTGTAAAGTGCCATCAAGTCATTTCCAACTCATGGCAACCCTGTATAGGGTTTCCAAGGAGCACCTGGTGGGTTTGAACTGCTGACCTTATAGTTTGCAATCCAGAGCTGACCCTACAGCTCTATACCAGAAGCCCTATAAACAATCATTAGTGATTTATGGAAAGCGTCCTGGTGGCATAATGATTAAGCACCCAACTACTAACCAAAAGATAGGCAATTCAAAGCCACACAGAGGTATCTTAGAAAGAAGTCCTGGTAATCTGTTTCTGGTGTGGCGCTGTAAGATAAGCACTGGATTGCTAAATGGAATTTTGGTGTTTCAAGCTCAACAGCTGCTCCTTGGAAACCCAACACAGGGTCACTGTAAATTGAAACCAATTCCATGGTACTTACCAATAATGACAATTTGTTTCTGAAATGTGACTGCCTTGAAAACCTATGGAGCAGTTCTATTCTGCACACATGGGGTCACCATGAGTTGGAATTAATTTGACTGGAAGGCAACTAACAACAATGATCAATTTTGTAAATCCACATAAAAATAGATTAACTAAAATTCTTAAGCATTTGTCTTGGAAACATACTCATGCAAGAGATTTCTGTTTTCAATCCATAACATTTTAAAAATATGTTGTTAAGACTATCTGGAATATATAACATATGCTCACTTACTGAAATGAATACCAAAAAGATGAATGTTCCTGAGCACTTTACCTTTGGGATTTTCCTTTTCCCAGGAGGTAGTAAGTTTTCAGGACAGGCACCAGCTTTGGCTGCAGAGGTCAGAGAAAGCAGAACTTCCTCGGGTATGAACTCATTCTGGAGGGAAGTACGAAAGGGTTTGGAATGATCCACCAAATTTTTTCTCTCTCTCAGTTCAGGAAGTCCTGAGGAAGCAATAGGAAAGAAAAGCTCTATGGTTTGTTTTTTTTTTTTGAGAGTTACATTGAGTTTCCCAGCCTGCCTCATCGATCCTATCTATGTTTCTGAGAGAAACATTGCTCCTAGTTGACAAGAATAGTAATAAACAATATTTATAACACAGATGATAAAGAAAAATGAACATATTCCCAGGCCTACTCATACATCAAGTAGCCTGTATGGTGCTGTAGGGTAAACACTGGACTGCTAACCACAATGTCAGCAGTTCAAATCCACCAGCCGCCCCTTGGGAGAAAGATAAGACTGTTTGCTCCTATAAAGATTAAAAGCCTTGGGAATCCTACACAGGGTCACTATGAGTCTAAATTGACTCGAAGACAGTGAATTAAAGATGAATGACTCACAAATCCGGCCTGTGTTAAAAAAACTCAGGTATAGAGATGAACTTTCATTATCCTAAATTCGAAGTTAAAAAGTAAACTCACTTTGCTAGCTTAATTGATACGAAAATGGCAAAATTCCACTCCCCAAATCTGTGAAATTATTTAGTAATGTTGACTAATATCTTCAAAGAAAAGAGTTATCACATTAAGTTGTAGAATTTATAGAGTGGGAGGAATCTGAGGTGGGTTTCAAAGTATGAATAGAATTGAGATAATACTTACCGGAAATGAGGCCATTCCACGTAAAGAGGAACAATATGAGCAAACTGGTGAAATAAGAGTAGCACAAAGCTTGACTAGGGTAGACTTATAAAGGTAGGGCTAATATGGGGAAAATCCTCTCAGGAAATCAGTCTAGTAGAGTTGTGAGTTTTTCTTAAAGAACCCTCCACTAGTCTATGTGCCTTATATATTATGGTTTATATTAATTTCTGTAAGCATAGTATCATACTTTAATCACCATCAAAACCTCTAAGGTCCACATCAAACCTCTCCCTGGAGACCTTGGAATGGAGTCAGGGTTATCAGAGGAAATAATAGACAGAAAACAAAGAAAAATAGGTGGAGAGAGTTAGGAGTTTTAGCATAATCCAGGATAAGCACTGGACTGCTAACTACGAGGTCAGTGGTTCAAACTCACCAGCTGCTCCTCAGAAACCCTATACAAGATTGCTATGAGTCCAAATGGAATCGAAAAGGGCACTTAACAACAACCCTAAAAATAAGATGAGGTTGGAGAAAACGTCAGCATAACAGGGGTAAGGGCAAATCTAGATAATTATTTTTCTTGTACAGATACGCATTTATCTGTATATGAATGGAAATCTTAAGGAATTAATCTAATTTACAGAAATTACTAAACCCTGATCCAAACTGTGTTGTTGTATTAGATTGCATGTTGTTCTCCTGTCCCCATCATTATTTCTTAAGTTCCTTAAAGTCATAAACTAGGTACCAAAATTGGTTGTTCCATTAGCATAAAATCGGTGTTTCCCAAATTTAGTTATTGTTAAGTGCCATCTAGTCGGTTCTGACTGAACTTCATAGGGATCCCGTACGGGGTTTCCAAGAAGCAGCTAGTGAGTTCATAGTCCAATTCTGATCCTACAGCACCACACCAGGAGTCCTCCTAAGTATAGAGTGAATTTAAAATAATATGAAACTCAGCAGCTTTGGGGAGAGGGGAAGAATGCAAATTACAGCCCAAGAGATGTTGTTGTTAAGTGCCATGGAGTCAGTTTCGACTCATGGAGACCCTGTGTAGGGTTTCTGAGGCTTTCAAATCTTTTGCTGGAACAGAAAGCCTCATCTTTCTCCCAAGAGCTCAAGAGTAGCACTTAAAAATACTATTAAAGGTACGGCTTTGGATTTTATTTCAACAAATGTGTCAGGAAATCTAAGTGGTGATGGGACTGCGATTTTTCTGTGGCCGTGATTATTTAGGCTGGACGTTACCTTTAGTCTCTTCCTTGGAGGCGGGTAGTTTAAGATTTTTGTCCTCAGGCGTAGACGTGCCACTTAGCAATATGGAGGGCGTTTTGGGGAGAGACATAATCAAACAATGACTCTATTAAACTCTCTTTAGTAATTTGAAATATTCCTCCAGAATGGCAGCCTAGAATCAAATCAGTGTCATACTGCGACGTGGCCAAGACTTGCCACAACTGTCCTGCAAGCAAAAGAAAAAGGGAGGGGGGGTTTCCATTAAATGCGTAAATTAAATTAACATTGGGGTTTAGAATGCATTCAACAGGGGCATTTCTTCTCTTGGGAAACCTATGTTCACTCATCTACCACAACTGCGTCCAGGTCAGGGTCCAGGCGAAGACAAATTCGCCCAGCCCACCAGATTGCGGGCACCACATATGGGCGCCCCTCGCCCCAGGCGGGTCTACTCGAATCACGATCTCCCTCGTACACACCCAATTCTCCGGACCCAGGGGCTGGGTAAGGTTAGCACCGTTTCTGAATCAGAAGTGACAGGAAACGGACACCAGTAACCCACACCCACAAATCGTGTTTCCCGCCAGGCAACATCCGGCCTCGCCTGTTTCCGGAACACCCGTGTGTCGTCATAGAAACCCAAGGTCTGGACCCTTAGCAACTATCAATAGAGGCTGCCTTCGGCGGTGCCTGCAGAGGAGGTGTCGATTACAAAAATTCCTACAGTTTCTAGGAGTTTCGATGTATTTTACTTTACATCATGGATTAATGGTAATATAAACTGAAAAGTTCTAATCGGGTCTTTCTCTCTGAATCCGAAAGTGCCTTGATCTCTGAGCTTCCGGCGACGGGTCGGTACTAGTGCGCAGGCGCTGATCTTCCCGCGCATGTGACGATCCCTTGCTTGTGAGGATGGGTCTTGTAAAAGTTGGTTCGGTCTATCCTGTTGTTGTTGTTTTGTGCCATCCAGTCGGTTCCGACCCATAGCGACCCTGTATAGGGTTTCCGAGGGTGTAAATCTTTACAGGAGTAGAAAGCCTCCTCTTTCTCCTGCTCTGTAGCTGGTAGTTTCGAACCGCTGACCTTAAGGTTCACAGCCCGATTCATAACCACTATGCTACCAGAGCTCCTAGTCTTGGTTATTGTTCTGCATCTTTCGTAAAAGACAAGATCAGGGGGAAATTATGGATAATCAAATGCTCTGGGTTCCTATCAGTTGTGGCTTCATTGCGATGATGCCGTAGATTAAGCACTCGACCTCAAGGTCGGTTCGACCGCAAGGTCAGCGCTTCAAACTCACCAGCCGCCCCTCGGAAACCCTATACCAGGTCGCTGTGAGTCGGCACTTAACAACAACACCCCGTTCTTGGCATCTCGATCACGATGTCCCCCGCCTCCCAGGCCCAGGAATAAGCGACAGCATTCCTGGGTCAAGGAGATTTTTATGCTGGAGTCCAACAAAAAGCGTCGTTGTGGTATAAAATCTCTTGTCAAGAATGTTTTGAGCTCAACACAAAGGAACTGAGATCCGCACCTCTGAGAGATTTCTTAGAACAGAGCCTTAATGTCAATTAATGCCAGTGGGATGCCAGCCTCTGGCCGTTTCTAATCTTAAAGGTAAATTTCAGGAAGGAAGAAAATTTATCTATTATGATCATTCGTCACATTCTCTGTAGTGCCAAGCACGTTGTCTTCCATTCCTGATCCCTGAGTCTGTAAGACAGTTGTACTGCTTTTCTGTCCACAGACTTTGAGGATAATAGAAACAAAACAGATTCTCTGTCTTCTTTTCATTCTTGTAGTCAAACATCTTGGAATTCTGAACCTATCTTCCCTATCATCCTAATTTCTCTCTAGATTTTCAAAGAATTAAAATACTCTCTTACAGCGCTGTCTAGTTCATTTTAGGGAGCGCGATGGCTCTGTATGATAAGCATTGGACTGTGAACCACAAGGTCTTCGGTTCGAGCCCACCAGCCAATTCACTGGAGAAAAACAAAACTTACCCCGTGAAGATTTAAAGTGTCAGAAACCCTATACAGGGTCCCTATGTGTGGAACCTAGTCACCGTCACATAACAACACTTCATCTTAAAGACCATTTAAACAAGTGATAAGCAGAAGCAACAAGTAAATGAAAGATAATGTTTCCTGGTTGGTTGCCTTCCTCCATCATCACTTGTTTTATGACTCTACATTATTGTTTGGAACCATAACCACAGTACTGAACTTCGGAGGTCTCAAAATTCCAGAGGCAGTTCATTGATGGTTTAACAGGCCCTTAGATACAGTCCAAAACACAAGCAGTCCCCAGATTATAAATGAGTTGCATTCTTAGGTCTCTTTAAATTGAATTTGTACATAAATTAAGAATGACATATATCTACTGGCAGTCAAATGTCTTAGTATACTGTATATACACTGTACATTTCTTTGCATGTTTTTGCTGTTAAGTGCCATCAAGTTGGTTCAACTCACAGCGACCCTGTGTATGGTTTCCAAGGAGTGCCTGGTGGGTTTGAACTACTGACCTTGTAGTTTACAATCCAGTGTTTATCCTACATCACCATACCAGAACTATGCATCTTTAATGCTTTGATGTGAGTAGAAAAATAGCACCCATTTGTTATTATAAACCATTGTATGTACCTCAAATTTTAATATACTAGGCTTAAGGGATTGTTTCTTTAACTGGATTGTTTGTACATAAGTGGGACACAGATTGGATGTTCATAACCCAGGCATTGCATGTACACTTTCATTTTTCATCTTCTTACTTAGTTCAAAAAATTTCTAAATAATGATAGAGGACAGGGAAATAAACAGATTCAAATGATACATAGTAAATAAAATCTACAGGATTGTGGAAGTGATTGGATTTGTGATGTAAACAAAATGACATTTAAGATTACTTGCCATTTTCTGCCCGGTGTCTGGTGTCTTTTTCTGAGACTGAGAGCATCTGAGGAAGACCAGGTTGGAGGACAACTTTGGAGAAAGTTCAGTTTAGGACTTGTAAGCATATTGAGTCTGCAGGACCTTTGCAACATGTCGTGGAAATGAGAGGTATTTGATTACATGTACATGAACATGTTGTTAAGTGCCTTCCAGTTGGTTTTGAGGAGCACCCAGTAAGTTTGAACCACTGACCTTGCAGTTCTAGTACTTATCTTACGTGAGCTTAAAGCTCAGTGAGCATCTGTGCTACAGTTGTAGAAGTATATGTTGTTGTTGTTATTGTGTGCTGTGGAGTCAGTTCCGACTCATAGCGACCCTGTAGAGGGTTTCTGAGGCTGTAAATCTTTATGGGAGCAGAAAGCCTCATCTTTCTCCCACGGAACAACTGGTAGTTTCGAACTGCTGACCTTAAGGTTCGCAGCCTGATTCATAACCACTACGCTACCAGAGCTCCTTGTAGAAGTACATAAGATAGTAATTAAAAGAAGAGATCTTCAAAAGAGTTCCAAGAAAATGCATATTATGAAACTACTATGTATGGATTTAAAAAAAACAAGTTTTGCCCTGGTAGCATAGTGGATTACAAGCTGGGCTGCTAACTGCAGGGTCATTAGATCGAATCTACCAGGAACTTCTCGGGAGAAAGACGAGGCTTTCTGCTCCCATAATTTACAGCTTTGGAAACCCTATACAGGGTGACTATGAGTCACAATCGACTCGGTGGCACACAACAACCATCACTACCAACTTGTTATAAAATGTCTGAACAAGATCTACATTGAGGTACCTAAGAAGGATAAGACATCAGTCTGAACAGAGCCTGTATCAGAGCAACATACATTCTGTTAAAATTGAAAAACATACATCAAATTTTTGATGAACTTGGGTGGAAAATTGTGAAAACCATTGATGCTTTACAAAAAATTTATGGGGACATTGCCCAGAAAAATCAGTTGACCAATGGGTAACTAAGAAGGGATGAATGGATGGGTCTGTAAACTGTTGTGCCTAGACCAGGTACAGGCAGAAGCAGAGCTTTCAAAGGAAATTTTAAACAAGTGGGATCAAGATCCTGAAGCATTTCTTGGAAGAATTGCATCAGAAGATGAAATATGGATTCACCAGTATGACCCTGAAGAAAAAACACAATCAAAGCAGTGGCTGCCAAGAGGTGAAAGTGTCAGTCAAAAGCTGACTGGTCAAAAGTAAAGGTCATAGAAAGAGTTCTTTGGAATACTCAAGGCATTTTGCTTATTGTCTTTCTGGAGGGCACTATAGGAAAAACATCAGAATGCTAATCAAAAGCCTAGTAATTCAAACCCACCAGCAGCTCCTTGGGAGAAAGATGAGGCTTTCTGCTCCC